ACGGCTGAGAGGGAGAGCTTTGCCTTGTCTGGCAAACGAGATGATCAGGAGAATGATGCTGACCCACTTAGTTATGTTGTTATCAGGACTATTACGGTTTTGAACTGGAGCAGTGTCATACTCATCGCAGTACCGAGAACTATCACGTTTCTGTTTGGTAATCCGTTCGAATGGTTTTCTGAAAACCCTAAACCCTAAACCCTAAATCTGACCTCAATGGTTGCCCCCCGGTTTTGAAGCGGCTGTTCAGCACAAGACCGTGGATTGCTTTGCGCCTTCCAGGTGCGTGTGATACATCCGGATCGCATCTTTGGGTTCAGAAAATTTGCACTAGGCAAAAATATGAATGGCGAGAAACACAATAGTAACTAATAGCAGCAATATTAACGAACAGTGAGATGATCTTATTCAAAATAAAATGAAACCAACAAGGACAATAATAGCAACAAAGTGAATAGCTGTACAAACATAGCAGCAGCAATAAAAAGATGAAGAAGCAGAGTCTCTCCTTACGTATGTATAGATAGATAGAGAGAGTGAGTGAGAGTAATGGAAAGAGCCCAGCTCTCGTCGCTGCTCGGGGTGCTGCAGTATCGCCAACACTCGTGTGAAACCCCCGATTCCCTAAACCCTAAACCGTACACCATAAACCCTAAACCCTAGATTTTCAGAAGAGCGTACGACTCAAGGCGGGAACAGGATCTCCTTCTCTTCGAGTCTCCGATCCTGGTTTGGGTTCAGGGTTTCAGGCGGTCGCTTGGAGCGCCTACTATAGGGGTCCGTGGGGCATTTAGGGTTTAGGGCTTTAGGGTTTAGGGTTTAGGGTTTAGGGTTTAGGCATTTGAGAATGAGGGCTCTGGCTTGACGTTGAGGGTAGTAGATAGGTCACCAGACGGGTGGGGTTTGAAGTGGGGTCGGGTCTATGGACGACAAAGATGACGGCTCAAACGGAAGGTGACGAGCAAGAGCAACACGAAACGGCAAAGCAAAGACCCATGCAGAGTTGTCAAGAAGTGGGGTTTCCGAAATAGGGGACCCTAATATAGTACCCTAAATAGTAGGGTATTTATTATAAGGACCCCCCCCCCAAAAAAAAACAAAAAACATAAGGTACCCCTTATTGTCGGAAACTCCCTAGTGTCTGTCGGGCCTTTTTTCGAATGTCCGCCTCGACATCTGCTTCAAGTACACCCGCTGGTCGACAAGAGCGTGTGGAGCTGCTGATTCTGGACCTGAAATCCTTGGGTTTAGGGTTTGGGGTTTAGTTTAGGGAAGATAAGGTGTGCTTGCAAGGTGCCAGCAGAAGAGAACTTACAACTCTTTGGGGTGCAACTAGGTCTATGGGCCCTCGTTTCTTGCGTCAGGAACCGCCAGTCGCCCAAGAAGCCAGGACCCCCTAAACCCTAAACCCTAAAACCCTAAGCCCTAAACCCTAAAAACCCTAAACCCTAAAACCCCAAAACCCTAAACCCTAAAACCCCAAAACCCCAAAGCCTAAAACCCTCAACCCCAAACCACGAACCGCCCGTAGCCCAAGAAGCCTAGGATCGACCGACAGAACGTTCTCCACGAATGGGATACCGAGTCCCGCTGGGTTGGACCGCAGTGGGCCCCTCGGATCCAGCTGGCCGGAAACTTCGACGATCCTTAGATAGCCAATGGGAGAACTTTTTGTCCCTATATATATATATGATCTATCTTAGACAGTTTGAACTTTTTTTGGCCTGGTTCTTGAAGAAGAGAGGATCTCAGCGGTGACCTGAATGTAACTCTCTGGCTGGACGAGAAGTTGTCCTTCACAGACTTCTTCCCTGAATGGCCCCTGACAAGGTCCCAAGTTCTGGACGTATGCACTTCAATATTTTTGTTTTGAGGACCGGTTCCGTAAAAAAGGCATTCTGAATTGAACGTCTGTGCTTCTTTCTCTCTGGTTACTTCAAAGTCCAGGTACTTGGATATATCCAAGGTGCACTTTGAGATTGTCGTCGCCAACAACCAGGAGGGTAGTAGAAAACCTCATGGATCTCTTTTAAGGGCCCCAAAAACCCCGAAACCAAAACCCTAAACGCCCTAAGCCACTAAAAACCCTGAAACCAAAACCCGAAACGCCTTAAGCCCATCCCTTTGAAGGACCTTTTTCAAGGGGCCCCAATTTTAGAGAACTGCCCCAGGACTCGGCTTCTTTGAAAAAGTCGGGGACCTTCGAGCCCGTTCGGTTGGTTCATGGCCAGTGCCTATGTTGCTTAGGGTTTAGGGTTTAGGGTGTAAGGTTTAGGGCTTAGGGTTTAGGGTGTAGGGTTTAGGGTTCAGGGTGTAGGGTTTAGGGTTTAGGGTTTAGGGTTTAGGGCTCTGGGTTTGGGGTTCAGGGTTTAGGGTTTTAGACTTGCAAACCCAATAGCCTCAATCCTTAACAGGAATGTATAGGGAATCCCAGCACTATTTGTCCTCAATCCGGTTTCCAACTTTCTGGGGTTTACTATAGGGTTTAGGGCTATGGGTTTGGGTTTCGGGGGTTTAGGGTTTTAGGGTTAGGGCTCGACCTTTGTACTGTTTCGCCTCTGGTTCCTGTTATAGTGTATAGTGATATGCCTTCTTGCTCTCTTCTTGTTAGAGTCTGTAATTAATGATATACCTTGTGCTGTTTTGTGTCTGGGTTCCTATTATAGTATGCTAACCCAAGAAGTCTATGCTTTCACCCAGTGGGTTACCGAGCCTAAACCCTAAACCTAAACCCTAGACCCGAAACCCGAAACCCTGTAGACCCTAAACCCTAAACCCTAACCGTACCAGCCTAGGTATATGTACGCAGAGTGGGACACCGGCCTGTCTTCCACGGACATCCTGGAGGATGACGGTTGGTTACTGGCTGCTATGGGGGTTTAGGGTTTGGGGCGGTTTAGGGGTTTAGGGTTTAGGGTTTAGAGTGTAGGTTTTAGGGTTTAGGGCGGTTTAGGGATTTTGGGTTCAGGGTTTTGGGTTCAGGTTTTAGGGTTTAGGGGGTAGGTTTGGCTGCTAGCTATGCCTTTAGGATATGCTCATGTTTCCTTCATTGGCTTTACAGTACTGGGGTTTAGGGTTTCTACTAGATTTAAATAGTTTGTGAAATATATATATATACACACATATAGATTATATATATATATATATACACATACATAAGAGGACCTTATTTAAGAATGTTGTTCGAAGGCTTTAGAGTCGAGCGCCCACCCAGGTTAAATGATGCGGGCGAGCTCCGAGTGCAAGCTACCGTGACTTTCCCGTCAGCGCGGGAGCCGCAGCGCAAGACCGATTCGTGGCTTTAGGGGTTAAGGGCTTAGGGTTTAGGGTTGGCTCTTAGGACTTTAACTTTTTGGGCTTCTATGTGAGCTATAATAAGTTGCTAAAAGTTTAACTGTTGGGGGGTTCAGAAGTCAGCCAAGGATTATACGCAGAAGATGGCACAAGTGACATTCCTGCTGTCGGAAAGTCCCCCACTGTTTTTTGACAAGAGAATCTTGGTGGCCCAGTCGGAATATTTCGCGGAGATGTTGTCGAACGACAGCTGGATTGAAGGACGCACTCACGAAGTCGATCTCCGAAACAATCCCGATGCAAACCAACAGACCGTGCATGCAGTATTGAATTTTCTGCAACACGGCGATTTCCATGCGCAGGGGGATGAAGCTTACGCTATGTCAGTCCGTCGTCTCGCCGATCAATATCGACTCGAGGAGCTAATCAAGCAACTCATCATTGATTGTTCGCAAGAATCATGTTGTATTTGTCTTACAAGAAATTCATATTGGTGTGGTTGTGAGAGCACTCAGTGCCCTGTTCTTCGGTCTATATACTACAGGGTTAGGGGTTTAGGCAGCTCAATGACGTTCTTCAGTTTTTTTACGAGACGGTGGAGGGTTTGGGGCAACTGAATCCTGCTAACTTCCGCCTTTATGCGATAGGGCCATACATCATTGCCAATACTCTTCTGTAGGTTCGTAGAGAGTTACCGTAAACATACTCTCGAAACGAGTGTTTTTGCTCTAACGAGTATTCTTTTGCATCGAGTTTGACTAAGGGTGTTTGTATCAGTTTTTTTCAGGAATGTAGGGCCTTAATCATTACAATAGGGCTTTGGGGGTTCTTTGTTATGATCAGAGTAGAATTAACCCCCCAAACCCTATTGAAATTAGTAAGGCCCCTATACTGAGGCCCGAGGGTGTTCGGTATGGATCCGAGCTTTTGGGATTTACACAGTCAGCTCACACTAGACACAGTGCAGTTTGCAGGAATGTTGTTGTTGGGTCGGAACTCGCAGAGTAGTTCACTAGGAAGATAGTACATAACAATCCCGAAGTATAGTGGAGTAGTACACGATAGTACAGCCAGTATAGCAGTCAGTGTTCGGCATATTATTTAAAAGAGAGTACCATATCGTATCATCTGGTATAGCATAGACTGGTATAGCAAAGTCTAGTCTAGTATAGTTGGTTCCAAGAGCTGAGGCGAGTCGACGATGAGTTGACGCATCTCCTTTCGGAGGGCAACGTCTTGACACTTCTGAGACAGGTGGGTGGTTAGAATTTTGTGGTGCGTTTTTGGGGGTTTAGGACTTTAGGGCTTCAGAGTTTACGACTTTAGGGCTTCAGGGTCTTAGGGCTTTAGGGTTTTGCTCTTCCCCAGCTTCAGCATACGCTGGAAGTCTTGTACTCAGGGTGACATGCATTCAGCAAGAGCTGTGCAGCGCGATAGCCTGCTATTTGTGGTAGAGGTGCGTAACCCTGCCGAGCCTAAACCCGCAGAAGAGAACAAACCACAGGTGGTCGGCACGGGTGGGGTGTTGGAGAAGCGTTGCATGGCTATGTTGCGAGCTGACGACTGGGCTTTGCTGGAGCAGCAGAAGGAGAAGCTCTTCCAACTGTCCAAGGACAGACCCTGAACTAAGTAGTGTCAAACATTGTTCGATCCCCTTTTGCACCTTCGCTGCAATGGTGGTGCTTGCTCCTTGAAGAGACCTGAGTTCTTTGCAAATACTAGTCTTAAGCCCGATCTAGACCTTATATCCGAGAACACTAAACCCTAAACCGTCATACATCAACGATAGTTCCTGAACTATCCGAGACCTTTCTTGGGGGAGCGGTTGGTGTTAGCATTTGTGATCGTATTGGCTTTCGTATTCGTATCAGCGTTTGCATCTAAATCCGTTTTTGTCTCCATGATGCTACTGCTCCCTGTTCCTCTGAATGGTAATTATTTGTTGTTGCTATGCTTGTTTTATTGGTATTGCTATAGCTGTTCTGCTATTATTCTAATTATGACTGGTACTGCTGTTTTGAGTAATACTGTTTGTATTTGCAGCTGGTGACACTTTTCTACCTTACCATGGACAGCCATTTTTTAACCTAATCAAGGAACTGCTGCTGCGGCTGCGGCGTGCTCTCTCTCTCTCTCTCCGGTCCTCTCTCCTCCTGGTCTTGTGCTGTCGATCCATGTCATTCGTGGTCATGCTTAATGTAGGGGCCGAAATAATTACCTATACTATTTTGGGTGGTTCCTTATTATAATAATAGTATAATGGGTCCCAGAATCCGATTCTAATTATTAAGACCCCTATATTACACCCAAGACCGGATTGAGCCGAGTGTGATCATTTGGGGTTCTGCGGCTTCACGGGTCAGGTGATACCGACCCAAAACACTAAACCCAAGACCTTTTGAACCCTAAACTCCAAACCTCCAAACCCAACAAATCTAAAGCCTTGCACCCCAAATGACCTACCTGTTTCAGGACTTGTGTTGGCCCTGCAAAAAGAGGTAGGCTTTTTAGGGTCCAGGTAAGCCCTACCTTAGTATTTTAAAGGCATACAGTATATAAAGAAATCATAGGAAGGAATTCTATAGGGCAGTGTCCCTAAACCCTCCACCCTAAACCCTCACCCTAAACCCTAAGCCCTAAACCCTCCAGCCTAAACCCTAAACCCTAAACCCTAAACCCTAAACCCTCCAGCCTAAACCCTAAACCCTAAACCCTAAACCCTAAACCCTAAACCACGTAGTGTTTGAGCCCTGCACCCCACTCCCTTCGGATCTCGGGTTCTGCTCGCAGGAGGATGGCACTCTTTCCGCACGATCCCCGGCTTTGCGAAGGGATTGGGGTTTAGGGTTTTTTAGTTTTATGGGGTTTAGGGTTTTATGGGGTTTATGGGGTTTATTGGGTTTAGGGTATATAGGGTTTAGGGTATAGGGTTTAGGGTATATAGGGTATAAAGGGTTTAGGGTTTAGGGTTTTTTAGGGTTCGAGGTTTAGGGTAATTGGAGGGTTTAGTGTTTTTAGGGTTTGGGGTTTAGGGTATAGGGTCTATGGAGCTGCCTCTTTTCCATCATTGCTTATGACTGCAATGATGGGCTGGTCTTAGCATTTTTTCGATTACACCGAATGTCCGTAGCAATGATGTTGTGCAGGTTCTTGGGATGCTGCACGCCGCGTTTGTAGCAGAGGGCCCGAAAACCGCTGAGCCATACATACTGCGGTATCCGAAGCCCTAAAGCCTAAACCCT